ATGTTTATAAAAGTTTTACATTAATAATATAATGTACGATGATATAATGCAATGATCCACTGATACGTCTTTCACATTCTGATCATTCAGTAAAATCCATAACTTATTCCCTATTTGAAAATTGTATCGAGAAAAAAAAAACCCTTTCAATTGTTACTCTTTCAAATGAGTGCAACTTTAAGTCCGTTTAAAAAAAATTCATGACAGCAGTAATAAGTGCTAAAACCTTTTAGAATTTCAAACCAGTTTTGTTCTTAACAAGATCTATATTTTTCAAAAATGCAAAAATGTCCTAATTCAATGACCAACAACAATGGAGTAAAAATGAATGTCAATAGTAATTAGCATAAACATCGGAAAGTTTGAAAGGATGAAGAAATGCGCCAAAAATTTGTAGACAAATCACTGCCCTGCTTGCATAACATTTTGACCTTGCATTATTTGAGAATGTGACTGAGTGACTGAAAAAAAAAATGTATATATTGTTTCAAACAGTTTTGTATGCAACCGAAATTTGAAGTAATATAATCGATGTGTCTAGTCAAAAAAGTCCTACATCTAACAATGTCCTGACATACATAATTAGGCTATTACATCCGGCTCTTAAACTTATTTTAATCTCTCCATTCCTTACTAAATGTTATACCCATGAATATGAGCCTAAAATGTTCCAAAAATTGACAACGACAAAAACAGTTCCACATGCGGAACATAAATCGTTACGATATTAATTGTATGAACCAAGCATCGATATACTAATCTGAATTCTTGAGGATATTCAATTCTTGCAGTCATTATAATGAAAATGATCAGTGATTTATTCGTACATTTCGGCGAATCACTGTTCGACTTCATGGTTAAGTATTCAAACTTACGTATCCGAAAAATATCGCGGTTGACATCTTGCGTATGAATCATCTGTGCAGCAACAGCTATAGGTGGTTCAACAACAGATGCTCCAGGATTGGTTGTATTTATATGAGTGCTACAGTAACCACCAGCAAAACCATTGATCATGTTGTTCACCGCGTAATCCATCTGGCCTGTTGTTAAATTGGACAATATACCTAAATTGAACTTTCGATTTTTTAATAGCAAAAAATTCGAAATACTGTACTCAGCTCAAATCCAAGGCAAATCACAAGCATGAATACTTTCAAAAATCAAATGTGGTATTTATTAGTGCTATATTTAATTGTTACCTCTTATAAAATATTAATCATATGGTATGTGGAAACGTATTTCATGCAAATACAGAGAAACTCTGCACTTTCAACGAAAACGGGCCCACGAAGTAAGTGAAAAGTCGACATGTTTTAGTAGTTTGAAATTTCTCACCAGCATTCTGCAACAGAGCGTCAGACGGAGAATCATTAGCGCAACCGGCAGGAGGAAGGACTGCAGTGCCCGTATATCGAAATAATGGATTTTTCAAATCCAATGTATTGCTAACTCGATTATGTCCCAGTTCTGCCCATATTTCAACATCATAGCTCTGCCTGGAAGATGTGCTTAACATGTTCCATTTCAGTTAATCAAAACATCAGGAACTATGGTTGTAGAGCACAATTTTCATAACATAATCTACCTAATTTTTATATTTGATATATTTCTCTCTAATCATATTTCATCTTCATCCAACTTCACTTTTTCATGAAATGCTTCCTCCACCGTAAACAAAAGAAGTAAACTGATATTTTGAATTCCACTACAAATTCTGAATATTCAAACTACTACAAGATTTCAAAACACGATCACCTTTCATTAGCAAGCATTCTGATAGCACCTCGAACAATTTGGCCACCATAAACCATCAAAGGTCTGTCAAACAGACATCGAACTTGATACCAATGAGTTAAAGGTTCTGTGGGTGCAGTAGACAACCAAACTGTTTCCCTAAAAAATTGCCTAGAAATGACTAGAACATGAGTTTTTGCAGATAATCCATTTTTATCAAATCAAAACTTGTAAAACTATAGCTTTAAAACCTCAGTAATTTATTGGTGGGAATAACAAATGAAAAAGCAAAAATGTGTACTAAGATTCTGTATTACATTAGGTTTTAATTGAGAAATTTAATCAGTATCATAATAAAATGAAAATTCACGTTGAACCAATAAAGGCGACATCGAACCAAGATGCGATTCCGTGAATATGCCCAGCTTTCGCGACCTGGAATTCAAATGGCACATGGATTTTATGCAATAATGACTCGGGATCCTTTTCGAAATCTATGGTCCATTTAACACTTCCCGACATTAGACAGTTTACATGCCACGTATCCTGAAAGGATCAATTCTAACAAAAAAAAATAAGCAAAGAAAAAGATTAAAAAAGCAGCAAATAATCACTACTGCTTTCTGTGAAGGGGGAGACACTTGATAAAATACACAATATTTGTTTAGAAAGAAAAAATGGTGGACCACCTCATGACGTTCAGACATAAACTTTCACCTACCACAACTGGCTGCTTAAATATTTCAGCAAGTGCTTGAGGTCGCAAACTGGATAAATTGACACCATGGAAACTTTCTTGACACCAAAAATTTGCTTTTGATGTTTGTTCAATGTAAAGAGCTTCGTCATTGAATAAAGCAATATGTAATTCTCCTCGAGACGGAAACATTCTACCTATCAAATTAATAGAAACAAATGAAAAAAAAAATAACTGCACATCAAATGCAAAGAAATCTTTCTTGGAGGGCGACTTCAATGACTGCAAAATGAAGAGTAATAACGCACAATCATAACAACTTCTTGACATTGAAAAAGAACATTGCCATGAAGACATGCAATATACTCATCAACTAAGCTAACAGCCTGAACTATTAACAAGTCAAACAAAAAAAATGGTTTAATGGCTCCCGATACTAGCATCTCTTCGGTATTCATTCCTGCTAATTATATAACACGAATTTAACAGGAAGCATGAGATATTATTACATAGTAATGATTTTTATGAAAAAAAAAATGATGTGAGATTAATATGCAACTAACTGCTTCAATAAAATTCTTTATATAAGATGAAATGACCATCAGGTTAACTGTGGCGCGATTAGAGCTTGATATTTTTTGAAGAATGCAGTGATGCAGTGCATCTATATGAATATTTTATGAGTTTGTTTAATATGTAGAAAGGAAAAAGTACAGATCAAGAATGTTTGAAATATACCTCCTGGTTTAAGAAATTTTCTTGCGTGTATGTAACTTTCAAGCATTCGCTCGTTTACAAGCATGTATCCCATTGGTTCCGATATAATGATATCTACAGGTTCCGGTAAAGTGATGTCTTCTACTCGTCCAGCAATAATTGTTATCTTATCAAGTAAATTGTTACGTCGAACGAGTTCCTAAAATTTTACAATTTACAAAAATAAAAATTTACAAGTAGTATCTCATTTCTCCTTTTCTCATGTTTTTATTTATTTACTGCCAAATATATATGTAAAAAAGAAAAAAAAACTAACTTCACAATGTATTGCCATTGAACTTGCTTCTACAGCATAGACATGACGAGCTCCAGACTGTATTGCAAAAAATGAAAGAATACCGCTTCCTGCTCCTACATCCAACACTACCTTGAAAGAATTTTTACACACACAAAAAAAAAAAAAAAAAAAAAAAAATTAAGAGAACTAGTTATACTTCCATCAAAAGAATTTACGAGGTTTTACTTACCCTGTCAAGGAAATCTTTCGCATTTATGTGAATAGCTCGTTGATATGTTGACGTTCGTACATAATCTTGCATCATGTTCTGCTGCTGTGATAAATACCTATAAAGTTCGCCCTTTCTTAATTCTGTGGATCAAAAATCCATCTCCTTGTGATTTCTTAAACTACTTCATTTCGGATGTTTTGATCAGAATTGGAAGCACCGTAGTTTTACCATGATGACAATATCTTCAACTTCTTATACACAAAAATAATATATATCGCATTCCAAAAAAAAAAAAAATTACCCATAGAACTGGAAATATTGTGTAGCTGAAGCATGTTCGGTTCGGGCATCAAATACTGACACTTTTTCAGCATCATTTCCTGGTGATAACGGTCCCGGGGATTTTAGCGACTGGCACATTTTAAAAGCCGTCAGAAACTCAGATATTTCTGAAATTTCTTGATAGTAGTACTAGTAAAACAATTTCGTTTAAGATTAATAATGTGTCACAACTGATTCCTGGCTAATTAGTTTATAAACTTGCTCCAAAGAAATATAAATAATTCAAAGATAACTAATACGAGGTAAGCAGTAAACTTATTTGCAAATAGTGTAGCAAATGGTTTTTCACAAATGAATTACTTAGCTGTAATTAAAATAAACAGACCTTTGGTGTTTCGAAAATATAAAATCTTTGTACTTCCAATTTTCATATCATTTTCTCGATCCAGGAAACCTAACATCATCGTGCCTAATCGAAATACATTTAGCATCGGAATAGGCCACCTCCATAATTCAATCTCATCTTCATCTGAAATCTAACGTAACCAAATCTCATGCTTTTGGATATTAACAACTACTTGCTCCGCTGTATTCTCTTCACAAAACCAAAAATTGATTAGCAAAAAACTTTACCAATAATACAAACGGAATAATTATCAGCAGTGATGCCAACCGCAACAAAGGATGTGTTTTGACGGCTTGTTACGGCATTACCATCTTCTTCTAGGTCTACGAAACGAGCACGACCAAATAACCGTACAGCCATCACACTTCTTGAATGTAATTCTTAATTTACTAAAGTTAATCCTTGGAACTAAAATATTACAACAGAAGAGGTCCAGTGAAAACATACATGACGATTTAAAATATTTAAAAAAGACAATACGAATTCAAAAAAATTAAGTTTGAAGAGATACTGGACAACAAATACAAACTCTTCTCATATGCACATCAACTTATTCCATTTTTCTTTATTAACGCACAAATACCAGTCATCAATTTTAAGAGGATTAAAAGTGTCCAGCAATTCTCCTCTATCTATATACTGACCAAAAACTATGCAACACCACGACCTTCTTACCTTAGATTTACATCGCCGAAAGGAGAACCATTGCATTTCACGTTTCGCACAGAAATACGTCCTCGGTTGTCCAGCCGTGGCTGGGATGCAACAATGCTGTATCAATGCAGTTTTCTATTTGTGTCTGGTAATACCAATATTTCGTCTGCATAGTTCCTTTCTCTTTCTCAGATAATTGGTAGTTTATCTGAGAATTATCTATTTTTTTTCACAACAGCTGAACATTTGAAAGCAATGCAGGATTGGTCCTGCAAACTAGGAAGATGTTGCATGGTGTTGAGTGACCACAAAGATTCCCGATGTGACAAGCCATTTAATATCGCAAATAATCACATACATCTGTGAGTAGGAAACATATTTGTTAATTTTATTGTTACTGATTCACCACTTTACTTTTCTCATTCACCGATAAACTCGCTTCGTTCTTATCACTGTTGTCGTCACTTGAGTCGTTATCGGTATCTTCTACTTCTGAAGTGCCTATAATTCACACTGCTAGTAAAGTAAGAATGGAAGAACTATCAACAGATGAGTCCTTAATTGTATCCTAGTAGCATGTGCACTATGGAAATAATATATATAAACAATAAGAAACTAAATGTATTGTTGCAAATATCTTTTCGAGAACAATGGAATTGTGGAGTATTCTTTCCGACTATCTTTTTTCTTCATTCTGCGCTTTTCCTCTCAAAAAAACTCTTTTTAGTGTATCAATAATTTCACCTACTTTTTACAACAATAATAAATTAGAACAGTTGTACAAAAATGATCTAAGGAACATCTCTGTTGATAGCCTGTGCTCTGAAACTTACCGGATATTCCACATACAGGCCGCTGAAAAAATGATAGAATCCATTCGCTAGATTTCCGAATGTCTGAAATATAAAATTATTTGCAACGAATTTTGTATTTTATTTAGATTGATTATGCAGTGAGGATTTTGGAAAATGCTAATTTGTGATGGACATTTCGGACATATTTGATTTGTTTTTATTGATAAAAAATTAGCAACTGTGGAAGTATACCTGATCTAGCTTGATTCATTGCACCGGTAAGATTTGTTACTTTTTCACCAACCTAAAAAGAAGTTTTTCAATCTTTCAGCTAAAGTGCTCTGAAACTTACCGATATTCCACATATTATTCGTCTATCTTTATGCAGTGCAAATGAAGCTTTAGTTTTATATTCAAGGATGTGACGAAATTATTCTTCAACGTTACAGCCTACTTGCTTGTTTTCATTTGTTCGTATATTGCATTTGTAAAATCATTCATTGCTTATTGTTAGCAAAGGATAACTAATTCTTCAAAATTTATGGAAAAGTTTGAATCCCTTAGTGAGAAAACGAAAAGTTGGTAGAAACGGATCAAGTTTACGATTTGTAATGGGTGTAATCAAGCTAAATTAGCTAACAAGGATGAACTAACTCTATGTCTTCCGCTGCATTTGTTTCTTTAATAGAATTAGACGTATTTTGATGATGCGACTTTAATGAATCAATTATGAATTTCTTTTATAGACTTTAAAAAAGAAAAAAAAACTCATTAGAAGCTTACAGTTGCATTATTTAAATAAATCATAACGCGAAGGCATAAATTTTTTGATGCATTCATCCTACTATCATATAAAAAGAAAAAAAGAATTTCGGTATTTACAGAATTCCTGGAAATTTTAAATATTCTGAATCCGAAACGAGGGGTGTTATTGCTTCGAGGAACTTTTGTTTCTCATGATAATAAGCTTATATTAGTTTATTTAAGTCAATTGAGCTAGATTGAAGACTTTGCCAGTGTGTTGTGATATTTCTCCTAGATATGTATAAAATAAAATGAGTTGTACAGAACCATTGCGCCAAAAAAAAATTTTTTATATAAATGGCTCAAACGATAAAGAACCCAGTAAAAAAATCAGAATTCCTATAAGGAACGATATGGACATATATTTTTACCAGTTTAGTCGCTTGAACTGCACTTTCAAGAGCGGTCTCAGAGCAATCAAGAGTGGTACTGTTCGCTGCTGTCAGATTGTCTTTCACCATTTGCGTTCCTTAATTTCATACTATATAAGCTTTATTAAGATATTTACATGTCCAAAAGTTCTTGAAGAAAATATTGATTGAAATTGGCAATTTGGATATAAAGAAATGCACTGCGGAACCTTTAGAAGCAGCGTGAATTGTTCCTTCTGCTATTTGTAATCCTTTGGAGGCAGCAGCTTCTGTCATTTTTGCACCAATCGCTATTCCAAGTCCTGCAAGTCCTCTACCGCGATTAGTGACGTCGTATGTTATTTTTGCCGCATCAGATGTCATTTTTGTGCCGATAGCTGCACCTTGTTCCGCAAGTTGTTTTCCGCGAATTGCGGCATCTAATGTCATTTTTGCCGCATCAGATGTCATTTTTGTGCCGATAGCTGCACTTCGTTCCGCAAGCTCTTTTCCACGGTTTACGGCATCTAATGTCATTTTTGCCGCATCAGATGTCATTTTTGTGCCGATAGCTGCACCTTGTTCCGCAAGTTGTTTTCCGCGAATTGCGGCATCTAATGTCATTTTTGCCGCATCAGATGTCATTTTTGTGCCGATAGCTGCACCTTGTTCCGCAAGTTGTTTTCCGCGAATTGCGGCATCTAATGTCATTTTTGCCGCATCAGACGTCATTTTTGAGCCGATAGCCGCACCCTTTTCCGCAAACTGTTTGCCACGAACTGCAGCGTCTAACGTTAGTTTTGCCGCATCATATGTCATTTGTGTGCTTACAGAAGCGCCAATTTCGGCTAATTCTTTACCACGTGCGGCTGTCTCGTAAGTCAGTGCAGCACCACGATATGCCATGTCTTTTGAATAACGATACGTATGGCCAACAGCAGCTTGCATGTACTGTAAGTTATCACGAGCAACTGGAAAAAGTAATTTTGAACGAAATGAATAAAAGTTGGCTAATTTATTTATAAAAAAATTTATAAACTTATTAAACAGAATTAGAACTCTTTGGACTCAATGAAATATATATTTCATTGAGTCCAAAGAAATATTCTGGTAACCGGTTCTTTGATTCCCTTCCTAACATTGCCTTTATACGCTTACTTAGAATTCCTTCGGTGGCTAATTTATAAGCGTCAATTAGTCCTTTACTGATTCGATCAGCATAAAAACTGGCATCCGTCATTAAATCAGCTAGATAATTTGACTTTTTGGCGATAAGGGCATCAAGAACTTTTGTTTTTGCAGAATCTCGATCTTTTAGGAATACACCCAATTCCTTCTTATCATCGTAAAATTCATGTGCGCGACGCAAAATTTTATCAAGTGCTGTATCCAATGTTGCTAGTACCTGTCATAGAATGCTAGTTAATCATTTATTTATATATTTTACGATTTTGGCACATTAAAAAACAAACCTAAATTATTTTTACAAGACAAGTAATTGAGAGCTAAGCTCATAAAAAGTTGGTTTGTTGATTTTTAGACCTAAGATAAGTGCGTTACACGATAGCAATATTAAAACTCGTAACTGAAAGAAAGTCAATAAATATTCCACAATCCTTTCTTCTATCTACCCCTGCTTGTAATAGTAATTTATGAGAAACCTTTTCACTTAATGGTATTTTCCGACTGAAATAATCTCTTAAAATGACAGCTTCCTCCGGTGTGAGTACTTTGCCGAGGACTTGATTGGATGTTAGTGCTTCTACTATTCTTTTCGCAATTTCGGATACTACAACCTGCACTGATAAATGTAAAGTATGATTTTTTTTCCTTAAAAAAAAATAGTAAACTGTTGAATTATTGAGTAACTGATATAAATTTCCTGATTAAAAAACTACATCAGTATTTCCTTGTAAAAGCATAAATTTTTATGAACTTTGCGCTTGATTTTGTCGCTAAATTAAAAATTCATTGTAATCGATTCTAAATACTTAAATCCAATGATTTAAGATTGAAACAGAATTATCTTCAAGATGAAAAAACTATGAAATGAAAAAGTAACCTCCCTTTGTTCTTTAATATGGTCTTGGTCTATCGTTGATTGATCTTTTTTCTCTATTTCAATTAATTTTTTGGCAATATCATCTCCTAAAATTCCTGTCTTGATCTCCCATTAATAAATGAATTAGTTAATTGTCATCTATTATACATCTATATTACTCTGGTAGTTTTGAATTTGAACATAAAATAAATACATGGTAAAATAAAATTTGATAAAATATCAATACATCCAGTCGAATTGAATCTGTGTTAAAAATATGCTTACAAATATTTTTGACCTAATACATCTTTATTCACTTTTTTGGATTCCGTTATTAAATCAGTTGCCAATGACTGCAGGAGGTTTGTATCCAACACAATTTCGTCGTCCATTTTTTCATACAGTGATTGATCTTTTTTTGTCATTTCAATTGGTTTTAGCAGCAAATTAATATCCTGTGTGCTTTGTGGATATTCTTCTAGATTATAATTATTAACATTAATAAATGTTGAAAATTAAAGCAAAACCATGATTAGGCACGCTAATAATGCCCCTGGAAATTCCTGAAATCATAGCTTTTAAAAATATTAAAAACATGTAGCGCAGTAACTTACCCAAAAAAGTATTTGCTGGCAGTAATTCTGCTTTAATCGATGACTGAAAATCAATATCATTTCATTATAATTTTAATCCAACTAATTTCCCTAAATTGAATTTACGGAATTCATAAATGTTTAATATACATATCTTGCCTTCATTCACAATATCTTTTCAATTTCTATTTTTTCTCAATAAGGTAAGAATGCACAGATTTCGGTTAGTTTATCACTTTCACATGAGAGTTCTTTGTTGTTTTAGAAATTACTTCTTGAAATTTTCAGAACAGCTTATATTAACTGTGAAAAATTAAGTTTCACAGATCTAGATCGAAGTAAAATCTACAAATTTTGAGGTATCCATAAATTCAGGAAAGGAACTGACAGTTGTTCTTACTTCCTCAGTTCGCCTTACAATATTAGAATAAGTCACATAATTAACCAGTTTTATAAACACAAAAGAAATTTATTAAGTATGCAAAAATCGAATACCTCAACTGAACTGAGATTTGACGTTTCCGACTTTAATTTATGTCCTGCTACCTTTTCATTCGGTACCACATTTCTATCCTTCCGGTTTTTCTTTTCGCTTTCTGTCATTCCATATTTCACTTGTCTTGTTTCTTTTACATCCTCCATACTCGCTTTTTTTTTATGATTTTTTAATAATTTCAACTTTTTTGGACAAGCTCTAAACTCTACGTGATCTTCTTTTTTCATCCTTGTCCCCTTATCATTCTGCATTTTTTTCCCTCCCATATCTACTTTAACTTTGTTTTTT